ATACCTTTTACCAGTGCTTATCCTACACTACGGACGCCCTAGTGTATGCACAGTCCTTGTGATGCCAGAAATGCTTACCCCTCTTTCCAGCGCAAGGCATACATAAGCGGGGGGTAAATTTACCCCCCAGATTTGCAATAACCATACACCGGCTATTTCCTCAAGACACTCTATTCCATATACCTTTTACCCGTGCTTCTCCTACACTACGGACGCCCTAGTGTATGTACAGTCCGTATGATGTCAGAAATGCTTACCCCTCTTTCCGACTCAAGGCATACAAAAGCGGAGGGTAAATTTACCCCCCAGATTTGCCGATCACGCATCTTCGTGCCTGCCAAGGAGTGCACCCGGGTTGTTCCAATGTACCCTTCCCAGTCAGCGATGTCACATTTACATTCTTTAGCGCAAAGTATGTACATAGCAACCTTCCTCCCAAAACATGTCATCCCTACATGCTTTGCCGACCATGTAACTAGCACATCCGGTGCGATTCGGCTAGCTTTCGACCTCTCCCCCTGGCCTCAAGTCTGGCAGGTCATTTTTGCCCAGCTACAGTACCTCAAAATGACTGACTAGGTGTGTCGGGCGACACCAGTAGGCTGTTCACTGATGCGGACGACAGTTCTAAGGAGCACCGGCAGCACATTGTTGGAACAGTGTTTGCCTTACAGGTTCCTTCTTCCTCTTAGAGTACTCCCCCCAAGACTCATCATTTGATTTAGCGGGTGAAGGTTGTGCCTTACCCACATGCCGTGCACAAACACACCAAAGATGTGTCGATGTTTTCCCGTATCAATATCCACACCTTGCCAAAAACGGCCCAGATAAGTAGACAAATGCAGATCTCAAGTTTTGACTGCTTGGGGGATTTGTGTTTGCAAGATTTTGCAAGTCCCCCTTCCTTGAATACATCAGTGCAGTGCGGGTTGGAGTTCGGGTTGGGTGGTTTTTGTTCTGCCACAAAGATCTGGATGTAACTGTAACTGAACGTTCCTCGATGCCCGAATGCACCATGACTTCTTGTAACTGCGGTGAGCAGCGCGCCGAACTACACCAAGCATTTGCTTTGACGGACGCCATGCCTGGACGGTCGCCTACTGGACCCGAGGTGCTTTGATGCCATTTGGGCCTTGCCCACTGGTGGCCTCTACCGTTGCAAGGACGAATGGCACGAGATGTGCACTCCGAAGCTCAGTGCTGGCGCCGTCAGACGGGGGCGGCTTTTCGTGTGATTTAGGACTTTAGGATGAGGATAATACATCCCTGCATCCATTATATATATATATATTGATATATATATATATACGCATGTATATTATATATATGTTATATATAAGAAACATATATTTTACAAAGATAAACAATAAGGAGTCATGGTAAGATGGCACAAGTCAAATTTGCATTTATGCCATGTGCACTCTGCCCGATATACATACAGCACAGGAACAAATACAAGGCACACAGGACCAGCATTGATAGGGGCATTGGCAAATAGAGATGGCACACAGGACATAAACTATCAGAGAGAAACCATGAAAGAAAATGCAAGCACAAAATCCCTACCATCATTGAAAGGTGCAGACTGAGGAGGGAGAAAAAGGCAAGGGAAAAAGGAAGCAAAGGAGAGGAAGGGAAGGACAAGGCAGGAAGCAAAGCAGAGGCATGTGACGGACAAAGTATGACATTACATGGACCGTGGTATAAATATATATCTACATACACGTGTGCGTACAACAATATCCTGCTACATGTATCACCCCTACGCACGTCATATCGACACCCTACGTCGATGTGTTCACAGTCCTCGTGACCGCTCCTCTCTTCCGAGGGATCGGAGTTGGGTTCAACGAATCAACGGCATGGGAACTGAAAGGCCACGAGTCTTTCAGGTAATGCCCACCACCCGGGTATTTTTCCGAGGTTTCTTGTTCAAGAGGTCCCTTACAAAGGTCACATGCAAGCGCGTGTCCAACTTAGGAATGTGTGTCACAAGGCTGACTTGCCGGCACCTCAAAGACGCTTTCGTTGTTTTCTGGTAATTTTGGTGTTGGAGGCGTACCTCATGTTGTCCAGTTTAATCTTGCCAGAGTGCCTTTGCCAATCACTTGATACAATATGCAGAGAGGCAGAGAGGGAGGGAGAGACAGAGAGAGAGAGACAGAGAGACAGAGAGACAGAGAGCAGAGTAGAGTAGTACATACATGCAGATGGATGACGTGCATTCACTATTTGATGCCGAGTCGCCTGGCGCCGAGGTTGGCCTTGGTGGCCGAGTCTCCCCACGCGACTCGCTCACAGTAGCATTCGTTTCTGGACCCCATGGGAGGTTCCAATCGATTGGTGCCCAAGGTCAAATGGATCTACTCAATGCACCAAAACACTGACGTTAAAAACACCAATGTTGATAAGAGGTTCTGAAGGTTTCAATTTTGAGATAGTCAGATTGTTGACAGTTGCACAGGTTTGGCTGACGTGTTTTGTTTTTGTTGGACCATCATAGGTTTCCTTGACGAGACCAAATAGCAGCGCAAAAGTTCTGGGCACAGGCTTCGCAATCCAGCATCACCAGAACAATCTCCAGATTCCGCAACATTCATCTCAACATGACATAGAACCATGGACCATCGACCCAATGTCGAATGTTGGGTCGATCATGGTCGAGAGCATCCCGCAGCATCTCCCTGTCAAAAGAACACAGTCAACATGTTGATTCATTATTCATGTGTTTTCTTGAATTGGTGAACGCAGTGCAGTGATCATTCGGCTGGAACGACCAGAGGGTTTGACGGTCGTGTATTGATACAGCCTATACGGTCGTGTTTGCTTTGAAGAAACTCGAGTGCAACATGTCAACATGCCGCCAGCAGGCCAGAAGACCATTTTGACCTTGCATTGGGAACTTTGACAGGTTCAACAACCATAAGACTCTAAACGTAAGTACAAACTAAGACACATTGTTGGATGAACCACTTGTGTTCCCTCCCACCTTCCACATCCCACCTTGGTTCCTGTTGCACTGGCTGAGGAGTTCTTCCCCCAGCTGGGCAGTGATGCCTTTGAGGCAGATTTAGTTTTGTTTGGGGGGGGCTTGAAAGATGCATCAGTCAGTAATGCTTTTCATTGCCCCCAAGACTCCTTCACAATTGTGTCCTTTTGCATGTTGATTAAAATTCGTTCATGGGGGGCCATGGACCTCAGTTTTTCTCGTGGCCACCGTTTCGTGGATGATGGGTTTTGCGAAACCGGGCTGGGAGTGTTCTTTCGAGAGAATCCTGCTTGCTAGCTAGGGTTTAGTTTGACTTCCAGCTCTATTCTTACGTAGCCTGATAAAGGGGTCACATGGTCCCCGAGTCCCAAAGAGGAAGTAGCAATCTACAAGAGGAAAACGTTGTCATTCTTATTTGAAGATGCTAGTCACCATTTGCGGTTGTCAGTCAGAACTATGTTGGGCATGCTGGCCAGTGAACACCTACTCGTAGCAACTAGGGCAGGACGTTGCAGCCTCTTCATCCATCCAACTAGGGCAGAAGCGCAGCAAGCATCGAAGGAATCTTGGGGCAATTGGAGAACCATGAACCTAGCCATCACTTCATATGGGCAACATTTTCCACTTCACGTCGAACCGCGAGTTCACCCACTGTAAAAACCTCGGTGGTTTGGCCGCAGGACATGGGACCGTTGAAAATGGAGGGCATCGTCTTGGTGGATGACCAACGCGCCAACTTCCAGCGCCCAAGCCGCGATCGATGGCCCGGACCCGACGTTCGTTCTTCCGCGTCTTTCACGCCGCAGATCGCTGGGCACCGGAACAATCTGCGCGCCGTGTTCCAAAGCCGGAAAGGCCATGTATTGGGATTAGTGGTTCGATAGATTTCGATAGATAAGAGTTCTCTGCTCGCCGTGTTCTATGTTCTATAACTACCTCAGCCGGAGTTCTCAGGAATAACTGTTTGGCTGAGGTAGTTATTCCTGAGAAGTTCCACGGTTTTGAGTTCCCTCTAAGGAGGACCGCCACAGGCAGCGAGCCGATTGGAAGGTTCACCGAAACCCATTTGCCCATTGGTGTTTTTCTTCATTGTTTGACAAGTTTACTAGAAGTGGCCTGATTCGCACAAGAAGCACTGTAACCCTGAAGAGGCAAGCTGGGGTGATGATCCCAAAAGCGATGCAGGGTAGCCTGTGATTGTTTCATGCTCTTCCCAAAGACGGTTTCAACAGGTATGATGATTGGCGGATGCAGATCCATCAACCAAGAGAAGATCTCATGCATTTTATTTGACTGCCACGGCGCAGTCGCTAAGGAGCCCCAGCGGTAACCAGGTCTTGCGCTTCTGCAAGGTGGCGCGCTATGACGGCTGCAGGGCAACAAGGGGCGTAGCGGTGAGAGGTAGCGGGGGACGTCTTCTCCGTCACAGGGGCCCTGGGTTGAAATAGAAGAGATTATCCGTTTGCGCCTTGAAGATCAAAGACAAAAGCGATGTTGCTTCTTTTTGAGTTGTCAGTTTGGCTTACTTGCACTTCAGTGGAACAGGCACGACTTGTCTTTTGTGCTACCATAGGGGCAGTCTACTCTGGCATGTTCACATCCCAATGCCCTTCTAGTGAAGTGGCTCCTGCGCTGCCAAGGCTACTACCGGAACTTGGGATATGCCTCCTGTTCGCAAGAACTAGGTGCATCGCAAAGCGTTGTGGCCACGACCATGAGGGATGTATCCTTCCTTCAAGCGAAACGGTGCTGTTGTGGCCACACGGGATACATGTAGATGACCGGCTTCGAGCGGTGCGTTTAGAATCAAAATCCGACTTAGACGGGCTGGCAGCGGCTGACTCGATGTCCGGCTGACGGGCCGGCCTCACCGCGACATACGGCTAAGAACCAGATCATGACTGGCATGTCCATTCTATATTTGATATATAAATCATGTTGCATCCATGGTGAAGGCCAAAGATGAGAGGAGATGACCATGGGATGACCATGTGCAAGTTGGATTTGAGGTGAAGAACATGGGTGGTATTGGAGCACATTGCTTCGAAGACTATGAGACGCTGAAGATGTTTGTCGAAGAACCTTCGACCTACAAGGAATCTGGTCCGGTCAGTGGGGGGGCGGAAAGCGGGAGCTCGCGCGCTCTGTTCAGCGCGTGCCGCTCGTTGGTTTCCTCCGAACCCGGTGCCGAGATCGGACCCCAAGAAGCGAAACAACGAAGTAAACACCACCTGGGTTCAGTGGTCATGTATTTGTATCACGGTCAGATTTCATGCTTCATCGGGATTTTCTTGGAGCTTGAAAGCTCCAGTTGAGCCGATCTTCGGCATTCCGGGGCCGATCCATCAAGCAGATTAAGACTACCCGCTCATGCCCGACAAATGTTGTGCCTCCCGAGGAGACTTTGCATCTGCATTGTGTGGAGAGACACTTTGAGCGAAGCAGCACCTGGTCGAGTACAGGATCCAGTTGTTCTTCAACGTGTGGATCGTTGAGTGCAGGTCCTGGTCACAGTAATTAGATGTAATTAGTGGTGTAAGTAGAGACAGATGTCGTTGATTGTTCGGCAAGAATTGCTACTTTCTGGCAGGTTGTGGTTTCTTTGCTCAACATTGTTCAGCCTGTTCAGCAAATTCCACATATCAGCTATGCATCCTTGTTCCCAGATGTGCCCTTGTTTGAAGCTTGTGGTCGTGTGCTTCTCCTGGCCAGCGGGTATGGAACACATCATTTTGGAATGCTTCTGGGGGTTGCTGTAGGAGCAGGTTGATAAGAGCTACTTCCATTGCAAATGGATCATGGATCCAGTATTTCAAGTCTTTCCCGCGTCGAGCGGCCCTTTCTTTATGCAAAGGTCCTGAGAAAGGTCGGTGAAACCAGGCAGGGTCCCGGGATTCACTCAGGCGAGCAACACCCAGTCGAGCTCATCATCTTCGATTTTGATGAAACCTTGACACCTCGACTGCTTCAGTAGATTGGTTGGTTGTTGTCGTTACTATGATATTCATAGTGATATTATGTACTTTTTATGGCAGCGTAGATGTCTTTTCTATTTTTGCTGTTCTGAGTTGTTATGTCTCTTAAGCACTATCAGGTCTTGGAAGATGCTTTAGCAATGCTTCAGGAATGCAAGTGACTAATGAGCTGTTCGTGCCAGTCTCCTAAAGATGTTTCCGGACATGTTCACTGCCAGGGCTGAGGCATCCTGAGTCGCTCAAAACATCGAACGGTGTCGTAAATGGAGTTCTTGCCCAACGGTGTCGTGTAATCCTTATAATATACTTTTACGTATTTGATACATCAATCTGACTAGGGGAATGATTCAATGATCCCTTTGCTCAGAGGCACTGTTGGTCCCTATTTGGGTGAAGATGGTTTCGTCAATGTGTCAAGGCAAAAAGCACCACTAAAGGCGTTGGTTACTTAAAACTTAAAACTATCAAGGTGCCCACAACATGGAAGGTGTGCTTGCTGAGCAGCGTTGACCAGAGCGTTGACCCCTCAACACCCAGAAACACACACCACCGCTGTGTGTGGACTTGGCATGCCTTCAGTTGAACGCATGCAAACATCATGCTTAAGATCATGCTTTGTGTACCATCGGGGTCTTCTGTGAGTTGTTGCATGTTTTATAGAAATGAACGCACGAGAGACACATTGTTTGGAAACAAGCGTGTTGTGAGAAAGGCAAGCAATCATAAGCAATCAAAACAGGATGTTATTTGCACATGGCCGGCCCTTTTTTTCATGGCTCATCATAGCTCATGGCTTCGCACAAGTGGAATCTTTGGCTCAGGACGCTTGCTACCTTCATGCCCTCAGATCCAACCTTCGAGGAGATTTCCTGGGACCTCCCGTCCTTAGAGGGTAGCGACTGGTGCCTCGACAGTCGTCCTTGCCGGCGCGCGGCGACGTTCGACGGTTGGATGGTTTGCCCACTTTCCTGTGCCCCCCGCTGAAGCTTCCACGAAGCATCAGCTGGAATTGTGAGATAACAAAAACACATGTGCAAAAGCAGAAAGTCGTCGTCAGCAAAGGGCACAAGGATGCAAACAGACGAAGCTGCACCTATAATTGTGGCGTTCTTTTGGCGCTGGGGTATGTTACGAAAGCCAGGCTTCGTAGAAGGCGCTAGCGGAGTTGTGTTTGGCGAACGAAGTGAGTAGTTAGGGGGTCTGGGGGGGGTACATGTAAACTCGGCACATGCTGGCAGAGGAGGGTGCGTCGAGGGAAGGTTTTTTTGAGGTTGTGTTGGAGGTGATTTTTGAGGGGTGGTGATGCAAGAAATGCAATCTGCATCATTTGCATCATCTGAATGGAAAGGTGTAGTTGGCACCTTGCCAGGTATAGAGACCCAGGGTAGCTA